CTCTACACGAGAAACCAATCGTCCAGCCGCGAGCACTCAGGGCTGGGTGGTGTATTCACCTCCAACCTGATGCTCACAGCTGCCCGGGCAAGCACGGCCGTCAACTCTGGGTCCAATTCGGCAGTGGCGACAACACCCGAGGGGGGCAGCCCCACCGAATCTTCACCCACAGAGGTCAATAACCCATCCTCCGATACTGCAATCGACATCTGATCCCCCGGCGGCACACCAAGTGAAATGCTGGGATGGCCATAAGACAGCCCAGCAGAATCACTCAACAGCTGCACAGGACAAGTGCTGCGGAAGGAGTGAGAGGTCAGTGGGGCGTGGCCCGGCGGAGAAGCTCTCACTGTCACCCTCAAATCTCACAGAGCACTAGCCGGCGGTCCTCTGCTCGTGGCAGAGAAACCGGGACGGGTAGTGACAGAAGGGTCTGCTTCTTTCCTTTTAAGAGACTCGATCGCAGCGTTGCCATGGTCAAGCATTGCGGGTATGAACCCTCCACGAACACGTCTTCAGACATAACCCGTAGTGACCGGCAGATAGGGAATGAAAGGTTCATATTTTGGTTTTGGGAGTTCCCAACAACAGGTTGACATGCATGCAAGGTCAAAAAACACTTTCATTGTCATATGCATTTATTTTGACCTTACTTGCTCAACAACTTCCAAACGATTCACTCAACGATTAATTTTCCAAACCCCTCCTCTGCGTGATGCTAATCTGCGATGGTTGGTCAGATTTGTCTCATTTTCATTTCATCATGCCTGATAAATCAGCCTTTGTGAGTGCAGTGTTGTTTTGTGTACAGCCGTTACCGGGGAAACCGCTATTTTTACCGCTCCTAAAGCTGCACCTAGTGGCAAAGAATGAATTTGCATTTTAATTCAGACCAACGCGAAAAGACCAACAAGTGGGCGGGCAATATGCTAATGTTTTATGTTGACGTCAACATGAAACGGCTTGGGATTCGTTTTAAAAACAACTGGTTTCAATGATTCAGAGTCGACTCTTTCTTTTGAGAGACAGTAACTTAATACACGGTGCACTTTCAGATTAAAAACTTTGCAGGATGTTTTCATTCACTTTGAGCAGTGTCACACTGCAAATCCATAATAGGGGCACTTTAATATTTTTGTGGAAACAGTGATATGCTTTAGGGATACTTTTATGAAAAGAAAGTTCTAAAAAACAACATTTATCTGAAAATAAAAAAAATGAAAGGTAGTGTGTATATAGTATATGTTTATACATTTATATATGATCATTTTCTGCACACTGCTCGGTATGATTGAGATGTATGCTCATGTTCTTCAGAAGCACATATTTCACATATCAGCAAGACTCACACATGCTTCTCATTATAGATAAGCTTACAGATATCCTCCACCGAGCTCCTCATCACAATGGCTCTCTGTGGCACTGGTTAAACACTTGAGACTTTTTTTGTCCTGGTAAGGAGGATTAACTGTCATGGAATGATAGATGTTTAAAGACCCTCATGGGGGCATTCACAGGATGAGGAGACATGACATGACCAAAGAGGTGAGCAAATAGATAGTCATGATTTATGGCCTCTGTTTGGCAAGATTTCAAAGTACCACTCAAATATTTTGTTTCATGTGCAGAACAATCAAGAGTTATTGATGATTCACAGTCCTTTTCTCTCTCCTTTCACCATTATTACAGCTCTCATAAGAGCTCATAGGCTTCCTAAATACGTTAATCTAATGTAAACTGCAGTTATAATCTATTAGTGAGCCATCCAGTCACTATATAACACGTTTGCGTATTTGGCAGGCTGCTAGACAGTGTGGGTGGCATGTGTGATCTACCAGTGAGTGCTCAAGCAAACAACACATCAATAGGATTAAAGAAGAAGGAAATAATTCATCTGTAATCCTGTTTGCTGTATTTTGTGTCTTGTGAAGAGATTACAGGCAGTTCCGTCTTTTTGGCTAACCATAGGCTTTTATTTAGCATAACTGGCACTTCTTCAAAATACATTTTCTTCACCTAGCATGCGAAATGATTCAGTAGCCTACATGCTTTGATATGCATATTGTGCTATTCATTGCAACAGTTTGGAAAGCAGATCCTTTAACAAATGGGTACATATATGTGCCATACAAATGCAATTTTTCCTAATATCCTTGTATGTGTACAGTATGATACATTTGCTTTCGGTGCGCTATTGCCATCTAGTGGACAGCAAGCTCAACTAATTGTTTTAAACAGTTGGTAGGCAGGCATTTTAATTTAAGACGCTAAATCTAGTATCATGCAATTGCAATACCTTTCAAAATTGTATGGGTTTTTTAAATGTTTTTTTTTTATGTTTCTGAAAGGAATCTCTTATACTTACCAAGCCTACATTTTATTCGGTCAAAAATATACTAAAAATGTATATTGACTAATATTCCTGTGATGGTAAAGCTGTTTTCAGCAGCCATTACTCCAGTCTTCATGTTATATGATTCTTCAGAAATCATTCTAATATGCTGATTTGGTGCTCAGGAAACATTTCTTAAAAACAGTTGTGCTTTTTGTGGAAACTGTGACACTTTTTTCAGAATTCTTGATCATTCTTGAAGGTATAGAAAGAAGCATTTATTTAAAGCATAACGTTGTAAATGTCTTCATTTCAATTTAATGCATCCCTGCTGAATAAAAGTATTAATTTCTTTTTTTATTATTACTGAATGGTGGTGTACTGTATGTGACATGGCATAAAAGGATTACTCATTACTTTGAGAAAGTCTTTTAAGGACACAAGGTTATCCAGGGGACAGTGTTTTCAGATCATAGCAAAATATCTGCAGAGCTGTTTTTTGGATTTGAGTCTTCTGTTTGTCTGTCAACCTCATCATTTCCTACTAATGATTTTTTCATAAACATCCCTTGTTGTTCTGCTACTGCACTTGGGGATGTATTACAGGTGAATATGCTATTTTCTCTCTATTTTAATCAAAAATAAACTTTGCCGTATAAAAATATTGGTTGCACTTTATTTTGCAGTATGTGCACTTACATGCACAGTGTACCTACCTAAGAAAGTACTGTACTGTACTGTACTGTACTGTACTGTAAGGTAACTACATGGGGTAGGGTTAGGTTTAGGTATAGGTTCAGGGTAAGTACCTAGTTATTACCTAGTTATTAATAAGTACATAGTATGCACATGAGTAACAGGACTGTAAAATAAATTGCTACCAAAATATTAATAAGGCCATTTTTTGACATGACTTTTATAATCAAGCAAATAAAGTGCAAATTGGTATATAAAATAATACAAACTTTTATTTTAAAGTGACAAGAACCTTTTGTCAATTTGTGTTTATTTGGCAAAATATTTAATAAAACACTTTACATTATCATATACTAAATAATAATAATGATATGTCACTTAAGGCTGTGAAGATGGAGCTGTTTCCAGATCGAAACAGACACACACACAAAAAAAACATTTGAACACATAAAGGGTTGGAAGCATGTTTTTTTAAATCATTGCAATGATAAACAGAATAACTTATTATATAAAATAACAAAACACATACATATAATTATTAGAAGAAAATAGAATATGCAATGAAGCTTTAACTCTGCATCAGTTTAACAAAAACACCCACACACAAAACCAAGAATAGACCTGAGCACAATCATGTACCTGTCATAACGGCACACTCCACAATTTGTAAAAGAATGTTGATTCTATTAAAGATGTAGTCGTTCAGTTTAGCTGAGTCATGTGTAGTTCATGCTGCCATGGTCTGTGCCGGCAGAAGGGCAGGGCAGGAGTGAGGCGGGTGATTACGCTGCTCTTCAGCTTCCACCCTTCCAGCCCCCAGCTTGAGCCACTGATATGAACAGCCATGATGGTTTATCAGACCCAATGCCTTGACCCCTCCCTATCACAGAAGTGCATGCTCGTAGCCATTAAAAATGAGAGTCAACGTCATTTAACATCATAAATGCGTAAGCACTTCACAGTTTTACTGTTTTTGCTGTTGTTTTCTTGCTGCATTTGAGCCATGTTTGCCATTATGTGTGGTAAAATCACAACAAAGAAAGCAGATGCTACATGTTTATATTCTTTTGAAAACTGTTATTTAATATGAGGAGTATGATTGGTAATGATAGTAGAATAAAAAAAACAGTAAATTGCTATCAATACATCTCTAACACTTTAATTATCAACTATAGATACATTTGCATAGTGTACATGTAAATTGCATAAGTAGCATATAGGTTTAAATGTATTAATGCTACCAACCAACATGCATCTAATATTGAGTAAGATGCATGACTAGCTAACTAATTCAAAATCCATAACCACAATGACATATTACTTAACAATTAGTTAATAGTTATGTGCCTCTACACGTAAAGTCATAACATAATGATACCTTTGCAAATCATTAGCTAATGATTAATTAAACCAGACAACTGGAAGCTGAATAGCTTTGACCACTGTGGTAACTAATTAACATATGAATTTACATCATTAGTTAATATAATGTTAGGGAACTAATAGGCTACATTATGGCACATTTAACTAATAGCAATTTATTTATTACTTAATCTATGAATCGTATAGAATTTTCATTAGTTGCTGATGTAGTAGGCTATTCATTAATAAATGGCTTAGTTCTTCATGAGTTATAGGCCTACATTAACTCGTGATTATCTGTGCATTCGTTAAGCATGAATTAATGCATATTTGTGCACCCATATTGTTAAGTGCTACCATAAAAACTATAACTTTTACTCCACAAATCTAAAAACACTGATGTAACTTAATGCAATGCCATATAGGCTACCACTACTGTCCAGACGCACAAAATGAGATCAATTCATGTTGATATTCAGATGAAATGGACACATTAAAAATAGCGTAGCCATTCATCAAACGTGCTGCGATGAGATTTTATAGGCTACTTGTTGCGTAATGCATCACTGATCTCACTCAAGAGTCAAGACTCCAGTCGGAATCCCGGCATGATAACACAGGCTCTTCAACTGTCACGTGATCAGGCTACCTCTCGCTGCCGGTGAGATGAAGACAGCGACCGCGGGGAACTACATTTCTGCCAACTGCTCTCTTCTATGCTACATTTATTAAGTCGAGATAGGCAGAGTTTGTGGTTAATTATGTGATCGAAAATATATGGCAAAGCTGCCGAACCGCAGTATACCCGACGAATTATTCGCGTTGTTAAACTCAATATATATTTAAGATAGCCTAGTAGCCTATAAATATAGGCTATCTTACTTGTGCCACGCCGTCTTATAATGCTCTCCAACACCGAAAAAGAGTTGATTGTACAGATATGGGACAAAATGCTTCCAGTGGCAGAAGAAATTGGATCTGAGGCTCTTTTAAGGTATGCTGTCTTAGATCAAGAAAATATTGGCTTAGCCTACAGACCGATATTCTTATAAACTAAATATTTGTACAGACTGTTAAACATTCTGGGATGTTGCCTTTCTTTAACTTATACAAAACTTGGTCTGACTTACTCTTTGGTGGCTCCTTGATCAGTTTTCTGAATATCAAAAGTCTACAATGATTGATGGTCTTGTCGTATTTGCCACTTTCCCATGAGTGATGACGCAAGCAGCAGAGTGGGAGGAAATACTGTGGGGGTCTCGTGCCGTCTGCATCTCGCTGACCTTGTTTTTCTCCCTTGTTAACTGGTTTACAGGATGTTCACAACGTTCCCCAAAACAAAGACATACTTCTCTCATCTAGATATCAGCCCCCGTTCAGAGCATTTACGCTGCCACGGGAAGAAAATCGTCCAGGCTTTAGCCGAGGGTGCGAGGAACATAAGCACACTTACTACTACGTTGGCACCACTAAGCAGGTTCCATGCCTATCAACTGCGAATACATCCTACAAACTTCAAGGTGTTCATGTAATGTCTATCTGTCCACTTAACGTATCCAGTGCAAATATAATGTGCGATGTTTCCTTTAGCTCACTAACGTAAACTTCTCACATTTTCCCCAGCTTTTCAATCATTGCATCCTTGTGACGTTAGCCTGCCATATGGGTGAAAACTTCACACCTGTTGCACACGCGGCGATAGACAAGTTTCTTTCGGCATTCTCAGCTGTTTTAGCCGAAAAGTTCCGATGAAGACCCCTCCAAAGAAGAACGGGATGGTTCTGAGTGTGTGTGTGTGTGTGTGTGTGTCATGGACCATTGGTCCATGATTTTGTACATGTATCTAACTGCATCTATAATATTTACGTCCTTGTACGTTATTTCTTTTAAATTGACTTAAATAAATTGTTAAAATGTGTGTGTGTGTGTGTGTAATTTTTACTGTGATGCAGTCAGTGCAATTTGATTTGTCATTGAGTTGTGAAACTGACTATTAAATAGGCAACAGTATTGCACTTGATCAGGTGATGTTTGATGTGGGTGTGGTGCTATCCAGACATAAGTGCTGAAATCTTGGCCGAAGTCCAAAGGAAATGTGACGCTCTATAACATTTATATAGACCTGCCATTACATGTGGATAACATATACCTTAGGCCTATATTAAATGAAATAGAAAAGAAACAGGTAGGATTTATGTAATATTACTAACAAACTAAATGTTTTAAATGCGCAGGATTATCTATTTATCATCAATAAACCTTATTTGTTTCAATTTGATACATTTGAACTAATTGATTTGCTTGTTCCATTGCTAGTCATACATTTAACCATATTTGAAGCATGATGCTAAGCAATTCGATTAAAAGCATATAATTAATTATTTAAATAGAATCAAATAAACGGAAATAGTTAATAATAAAAAATAAATGATAATAAAAACGGTCTTTTTTTTTAAGTGCAGACATTTTTAACCCTTATTTGTTTCTTACCGGTTTGGTAAGATTTGACTGACAAAAATGCATCATATTAGTTTGTGAAAACTGTGCCTTATCCAAATGAATGAAAATATGCAATTCAAATACAAAGTTGTTAACTTTAGGCCTAAATACGTTTATGATAAGGCCTAAATGAATGTTTATAATAAAGCATTTTGGATCTTTATTGAAGAAAATTTGGACAATAAGTTTGCATCAGTTATACATATTTTGTCTTGTCAAGCGTGTAAAAAAAGAGGGAGGGACGGGCTGGAAGTGGAAATCATATCAGAATGATAAAGACATCAAATAGCCTACTGGCCTTAGCTATACCCGAAACTGTGCAACATTCCTGTAAGTTTGAAAAAATTGTGAATATTAGCACTTTTGAAATGATATCATACTTAATGTGAAATTCATTATGTAACCCCTTTTGATTTTAAGACAACTCAATGGACAACGAAATCGTGTCAATAAATGATTATTTATTTATTTATTTTTGCTGTGCATTACACAATCTCAGTAGGCTACATAATTTCCTCGTTCAGTCGATGAATCTTTTTAATTGTTATATTTCTCAATATTGCTGCTTTTACTGGGTTTCCCCCGCCCAAATAAGTGCAGCCTTGGTGAGCATGAGACTTTAAAAAAAATACAAAATCTTACTGACCCCAAACTTTTGTGTACATGTAATAATTATTTTAAATTGGTTGTTTGTGCAAGTAAACTTAATTAAACTGGTTGTTAAAAGTTCAAATGGATTGTGTTATGTTCTGTAATTGCCGTTAATAAATCTGTCAGAAAAAAAAGCTAAAGTTTCACCTTTAGGGATACAAAAGCCTGGCAGCCTTTTACAAAACTTAACCATGGTTTTATTACAGTACCCACAGTATTTGTAGTAAAACTGCAGTAACCACAAATTTACCATGATAATATTATTAATAATAATAATAATAATACATTTTAGTACTTATGTAACACCATGTTTATTTTTCATGAGGTACCCTCAAAGGTGCACCTTTGTAACTTATCTACCCTTAAAACATGCATACTTGTATGGTACTAATATGCTCACTTTTAGGGGTATAGTTGCACCTTTGAGGTTGCTGCCCCATTAAAGGGCTAAAATATATAATTCTAGTATATTTTATTTCTAAAAGTGTAAACAAAAAAGGCCTATGAAATGTTAAAAAACATGGCTTTAAAAGCTAATATTAAGTGAGTATAATTACTGATTATATATTCTTTTAATAATTTAAAAGATCAGTTTAGTTTAGAAGTATCGGTATCGGTATCGACGATACTGGGCTTGAAAATATCAGTATTGGATCGAAAATAAAATAAGAGGTATCGCCCATCCCCACTCCATACCCAGCTGTTTCATATCACTCACTCACTATTTAACACTCACTCTGATCCCTTCCCTCTGCCGAGTATTGTATAGCGTTTATCACTCTCATAGCGATAGCTACTCTATGGAGCCTGTCTAGTTTGTCCATAGCTTTATCTTAGTCTTGCCTTGTCTGTTTTCTCATGTCCTGATCTTTGCCTGTTTTCCTGGATTTATCCCTCTAGTCTCGCCCCTGTGATTCTGTCTGTCGATCGTTGACCTACGCTAGCCCTAGGACTATTCTTGTGTTTTGCCCGCCATATACCTGTTTGCCATTGTTCGACCCTGCCTGTTACGACCACGTCTCTTAAATAAAAGCTTGTAGATGGATCCACACGTCTCACGTCTCGTCAGCCCCGTTACACACGTGGTCTCATGTGAAAATAATTGCCTTCTCAAGCAATTATTTTATTTCTCAGCTCTTGACTTAAACTGAGGAAATTACCGAAGTAATTTGAAACCCAAACTTTTAAAACATCAGTGAAATAGCCTAATCTTTTAAATCATTAAAACAATTGCCAATTTGAGGTAGCCTAATATCTCTCCACAAGTACGAATGTTCTTATAATATAGGGGAGACCGAAGATGGTTGTAACACTTTTTGTTCAGCATCAGTAACTCAGTGGCCGTTTGTGCTAGATGTCTCAAATTTTGATACATAACCACATTTGTCTACTCCAATTAGAACTCACTTGGATGTGTACTGCATAATCGTGAGTTATGTCAAATACAAAGAATGCCGTTGTTAATCTACCCCTGGGTGAGTTGTAACACTAGCTGGGGATATCATATGTCTGTGCTTAAATGTAACACACTATCCAATTTTTGCATAAACATAATTTAAAGAGAAAAACAGTCCTGATCCTGAATAACATGAACCATTTAAACCTAGAAAAACAGTATATTGTACTTTTTACAACTTTAAATGTAGCGCAAAACAACCGCGCATGTTTGTGTAAGTGTGCGTTTAAGTGCACTCTACTCCGGTCACATAAGGGTTCAGTCACTAGCTATGTTTCCATGATCCACCTATTTTGATGTGAATTTTGAGATATAGCATAAAAACGCTGGATGGAACCATCAAGATGTGCATAAATTCTTATAATGCGTATATAAAAAAACTTGTGCGTTCAATTGAGGCAGATCTTTTTTTATCTGTTGGGAGACATGCGCATATGCAACAACAAAACTCATGTGACTTTGCCTCAACAGCAGATGTGATCGATAACTGGACTCATTGGAATCATATAGGGGTTGGTTGTAACATTTTTAATAAACTGTTACAACTATCCCCAACTCAAACAGCCATAACAGCAAACTGTCTTAGCATGGGTTTGAAGTTTGCATAAATGCAAAGCATCAAATTGATGAGAAACAGCTACTTCAGGTCATGCAAGTTAAATAATTGTATCTACAACTCAAGGATTGCTATGCAAAATAATCTTGTTTAAAAGTTTTACTTGAAAATCATTTTTTTGGTCATAAAATCTACAAATTTGCTCACAATCACATGCAGTTTGTACTGTGTTCTCAAACAGAAGATGGGAGTGTATGATATTGATGATGACCACAGCTCCTTTCTGATCTGTCAAACTTGTAGTGTTACATCTAACCCCATGTTACAACACTCCCCGGTATCTCCCGGTCTCCCCTATAATAGCCTAGCCTGCAACTTATATCAGACATGAAGTATAATAATATTATAGTATAATAGCCTAGTTATTATAGTATAATAGCCTAATACAAAAATAAATATTATAATATTATATCAGACATGAAGTATAATAATATTATAGCATAATAGCCTAGTTATTATAGTATAATAGCCTAATACAAAAAAAATATTATATTATATCAGACATGAAGCATAATAATATTATAGTATAATAGCCTATATTATAGTATAATAGCCTAATACAAAAATAAATATTATAATATTATAGTATTTCACCAACTCAAATTTAATATGGTCACAAAATGCGTAAATTCTGCTAATAGATATCAAACTCACATTCTCAATTGATTGAGACTCACATTCCGCTAATAGACCAGTGCGGTCCAGGGCTAACAACGAGCCGTGCTGGGCCAGTGGCCGCGGGCCCAAAGTCATGCTGCTTTTCAAATGTCGGGCCAGCGCTCCTCTAAAAACCCGCCCTTAACACTCCTCTCTTAAGCAAACGTCACACAGCATCACAAACAAAATGAGTGAAAACTATCAACCCGATCTCATGAAAGTGCATATAATAGCACGAGTTTTGTTTCGATTTGGCATACTGTTTATACGCAAAAATGGACTTTGGCGTGCATATGATACGCAGTGGGTAGGATTAGAGTTGTGGGCTAGATGCGTATCATATGCACGCCAACAAATTGAAAACTGCATATTATATGCACGCCAAAGTTAATTTTTTGGACCACGGTTTTCTGTTTTTATTTGGTGTACTATTTATATGCATTTTCATGAGACCAGGCTCAAACTATTGCAAAATAAACTTGACAGAAGCGGACGTTTCGTCCTTACAAAGATTAAAAAAGACTCCAGCATCGATATTTTACCAATAATTAACGATAAAAATGTTATAGTGTCAGAAATTTACATCAGTGATGCCAAATCCAATTATTATGTATAATTTGACATAAAAAGAAACACATAGGCTACTTGTTTAGTCGCTGCTGCTTTGTAACCACAGAAATGTATAACTCAGTCAGTTTAAGTCCAAGGCATGCACATCACAATAGAAACGCATATGTTTGCGTTAAAGGGGTCATATGATGCGATATAAATTTTTCCTTTCTCTTTGGAGTGTTACAAGCTCTTGGTGCATAAAGAAGATATGTAAAGTTGCAAAGACTAAAGTCTCAAATCCAAAGATATATTGTTTATAAAAGTTAAGAGTCAACCAC